CGCCTCGTTGAAGCGAGGCGCTTGGACATGAAGCAAGGCGCTTGGGCCCTTGCCCGAGCGCCTATTGAAATCACTGTGTCCTACTAATAAGTTTTTGATGCATATTCAAAAAAAGTTTTTGATACATATCAATAAGGATTTCTGCACATTTTTAATGGTGAGCGACGTAAATAACCTTGCTGTGGATCTGTTCTAGTGTTTAATAGTATAAAATCACTATTAACCTTTGAGTAGAGGTAGCCCAATGCAGAAACTTCTACTCAATATAAGGTTTAGGAATGGTCAATGTGCACAACAATATCCCCCCTCTAATCAAAATGGTTGTTTCTATTGTTCAAACCCTTGCTTTAGCTTGCTTTTGTTGATGAGACTGACAGTTTGGGATGGAAGCCTACTAAGTACAATAGATTTCAAAAGCCCAAAACACTTATTTGGATTCAATTTCCTTCTCTTGGTTGGTTTGTTTATGGTGCTTTCATGATGAATTATGCATAGGTACTTGATAAGTGAAGCATGTAATGTGATAAGTGATCAAAAATCTGTTATTTCCAAAAGAGGGTACATATAGTTGGTAACCAGACATCAAGGTAGGACCACTGAAGCATGTAATGTGATAAGTGAACTGCAATGGCCCATACCTGTGCAGGATAGCAGAGGCTTTATCCTGAAGGAAAAATATTTTCTTTTGGATGGATGGAGGGTAAACTTTGGTCTCGTGGCGGCGACAGATATTTAATGGTTGGAAGGTTTGAGTGAAAGCACTTGGGATTAATTCTTGAACTGCATGATGATTTAGGCTGATTGAAGCTTATCCTATTCTGATCTTTTATACGCTGAAAGTTGATAAATTATAACATGTTGAGTGGTGTACTTAGCAAGGATTGAAATTTCGTACTGTACCGATGTACCGAGCTTTGCTCAGTATAGTACGGTACGACGTACCGAGCGGTATGAGCTCAATATGCCTGATTTAGGGTGTAAAATCCTCCAAAAATATCATAAAATAAAAAAAAAGTTAGGATAGAGTTTTTAAGTTAGAAATAAACATACATTTAGTATAAGGTTTAGCAAAACTATGTAAATTAGGTAAGAATAGTGTCACATATCTTTTTCGGGCTTTGAGAAATAGCCTTGTGGAAGGTTCATAATTTCGATCTATTACAGATCGTCCTTATGTTAATATTGAATTATCTGCAGAAAAAAATATGAATTGTTATATTATTTTGTTACAACATAAACTTTAAAATTTAAATAAATTAAATAATCACACATGTAGATATACTTGATTGCTGATTCTACCATCAAAACGAACGGCAAGCCTCCACGGGTGGTGGATCGGGGTTCTCGATCCTATGTATCTGCATATCAATATGATATGTTTGTTGGACCCAATCCTTAAATTGATCCCACGATATAGTGTATTGATACACCGTATATCATTGGTGCATCAATGTGGTGATGATCATAGGTTGATTGTCATGAATCACATGTATTCGAGGCGGCCCCTGAGGCATGTATTGGTGAATGTCAGAGCTTCTACTTTCGCTACTAATCGGTAAGAGAGTGTGAAAGTGAAATCGAGTGAAATAGGGAGGATGGGTTTAATAACCCGTGAGAAAGGGCTCCAACAGTCAAATTGACCGTTGGAACATTGTTACAGTTCGGTAATGATCGAAATTGATCGTTACTGCCCGATACAGTGCCATATCCTCTGATACAGAGCTATTTCAAGTATACTGCCCGGTAGCGGGCGGAGACCGGTACCTACTGTCCCCACCCGATTTGAAATTTAAATCCCTAGTACTTAGCACATTGCTGGTACGGGGCCTTCTGCAATCTAGTGCATGGTTGGACCAATGTGTGCCACTTGAACCTGGTGCTATACCATGAGATTGAAATCCTTGAATCCAAAAGCCATTATGTGCTTTTTTATCTCTAAGAACGACTTCCTTGGTCTTCTTTATCCTTCACTGAAACTTTTAACTAGTACTATACACCCACTATACACCTTTTCTTATTAATGCACTTCAAATTCCTGAATATTATTTAAACCATTTCAAACAAATATTTGTTATCTTGATCTCATTGGAATTACCTTTAGCTTACCACTCATAGTTCTTATCTTAGTGAAACCATGTTCAAAAACTACCATATTGAAATTAAGAAGAGTTATTTTCCATTTTAGCTAAGGGTCTGTAGGGTTGCAAGGTTCAACAACAACAACAACAACAAAGCTGTAATTCCCAACTATTTTGGATTGGCTACATGGATCTTTTGTCGCCACTGAGATATGTAAACAACCATATGGTTAGTTAAGTTCAGAGTACTCAAGTCTTTATTTATAGTTTCTATTAAAGCCTTTTTAGGTCTTCCTCTATCTTTTCTCATATCACTAATATTAATCATTTGACTACCACAGCCAAAGGTGTAGAGTTGCAAGGTTATGATTTTTAATTTAATAGCCTCTTCTATGAAAAGCATATAGAGGATATTATGAGTTGGAGAGAGGAAATGGGAACCTCTTTGAAATGCTGGGTAAAACTTTAGAGACTTTTCCTTTTTTGTCCCAATAGAACTTAGTTCCACAAATTTGAAATAGAATTTCATCTAATTCATTTTAGTTCCAGAAAATTAAAAGTTTATCCTTCTGGAAACATCAAAAATAAAATTTGAATTTGTTCAGTTTTCCTACAAAATAAACATTGCAAAAAAATTGTACTAGGTAAAGCAGTTCCCCATGAAATTTATCGTTCACCAACTCACCCTAGAAGGCTAACAAGAGAAGGCTCTTTAGATAGCCTCTGTTACCTTGATTAATTGATGTATATTATTGCTAGCTGATCAATCGAGTTTCTTGGGGCCACAAGTCATTGTTTGCCTTATCCGTTCTTCTGTTATTGGCATGACATTGTCTTATTTGTGCTGATAACATGTGCTATGCTATTGTTAGATGCTACTCATGAGATCAGACTAATTATCGGCTTTGTGAGGGTGTCAGCACCCAAGGTTTGTGTTGTCAGCCACACTCTCAGGATTGTTTTAACCTTAAGTTTCTAGATCTGAAGTCTGATCTTGTTCAAGGAGGTCGGTTTTCTATCATTGGCATATTTCTTTCGATCATTGGCATGTTTCTTTTAATCATTTGCATGTTGATATGATGTGCTGTCAATCATTATGATGCAACACTTGAACTTGGACTCGTTATCGGCTTTGTAAGGACCTAGCACCCAAGGCTTGTTTGGCTGGCCACATCCTCACCGTTGTTCAATTTAAGTTCTGGGTCTTGAATGCTGTTAGATCTTGTTCAAGGAAGTTGGTCCCCAATTTGGAGCCCCCAATTTCAGTTTGATAAGATTACGACCTCTAACCTATAACCTGACAATCCAAGCTCGCACATGCACATATTATCTACATTGATTATAACACGTTAGTTAAAATTTTGGAACCAGCATATTTATTAGAGATCTATATGTTCTGATGACATTTATTAGGCATACTGCAAAGCAGAGATATGTAGTTAATGCAGTTTGCGTTAGGAAAGCTTTGGGTCCACAACAAGCATATCATCCACCATAAGTGGGACCACATTTGGGAGGGTTACTTGTAGGATTCCAAAATAGGAGTGCTAAGTAATCATTGGTCCATGTATGTGCCAAATACTTCTGCTTGTGACACTAAATGACAAATGTCCAAAATCTTAAGTTATGTAGTCTTATGACAATCATTCAATACCATATGATTTTTCGTTTATAGGACCAAACAGAATCTCTCTTCATGTTGTTGTGAATTGACAAAGTAACTTTTTATGTGATTCTGGATTGCAGCTTCTCATCTATTTCTTTCATTTTTTTTTAAATCAGGTCTTGCCTTCATCAGCCCATATGGTAATCTCTGCTGCATCAGAATTTCTTTTGAAATGGTTGCTTGAATATGAACATGAACAACGACAGTGGTCTGCTGCTCTTTCTCTTGGTCTTGTATCTACTTGCTTTGATGCAACCGATTGGAAGCAAAGATTTGAGGTTGTGAATGGACTTCTCAAGGTACATTCCAATGCTACTCTTCATCATGACAATGTACAACAAATCTATATTCTGATACTGGGGAACCTGGGTTCAGGAGAAAGGAAAAACAGTAACTTTTTAGTTTTGACTTTACTCCACATCCTCTTATTACTATTTGCAGGAATTCTATAGTATAGAATGTATCGTACAAAGACTTTGGAGCATTTTTTTGGCTATTGTGTTGCGAAAAATGTTTTTTAAATCTTGAAATGGTGTTTTAATAGAAGTGTTCTTATACTCCGAACCAAGGAATGTCATTTCTGGTACCCGGCCTGGTCTCTGGTCAGACCAGTATGTACCAAGTGGCAGTGAACCACAACAGTGGGGTTGCATGCAGCATTGGATGGTAGCGAGGATTCCACTCTCCCCATGCATGGATAAGAGGGCTTACACTCATGAGTCCAAGGGGAAAACATAAAGTGTTTTTCTTTGTTTTATCATAGGTTGGTCTGGACTGCCTGAAACTTGGGCAGTCCGTGTAACGGTTTGACTGATTCACACGCAGACCATTACATACCACCCATTTTGAGCGGTATTGGTCTGGTGTCATTCCATGCAGTGATAAAAATTAAGAGATAAAGTAGATAGAATTAGAAACAAGGTTTAAATTTTAACGTCTTGTCGGATGCTGATACTTGTTGATGGCTGGACCAGATTTTTTGGTATAGACTTCAACCCTGACATATCGACACTCGTACATGTTTATATTGCCTGGACCAGGGGAGAGAGGAAAAGAATTGGGGAGGAGGAGCAGGAGAAGAGGAGGAAGGAGCAAGAAGACTATTGGTGGAGGGAAGGAGAAGGCAAAGGTGTATGAGGAGTAGTGGTGGAGGAGAAAGTGGAGAAGCAGAAGTGAGAAGCAGCGAGAAGGTGGAGGCAAAAGAGAGAAGGTATCGTTGAGGTGGAGGCAGCAGTGATCTGTTTAAGGATCCGTGGAGGGGGTGTTCCCCCTGTTTAACTAGTAAATTAGGCTTGCCTAGAACTGGACATTATGTCAGACAACCATACTGGGTGATAAGCCCAAGATGATTCCAAACCGGACGAAAACTGATGGTTTGTACCTAACAGTATGCTTCATTGTTATTGATGTGACCATATTTGCTATATGTTCTGCAGTTTCTTGAGAACCCATTAATTTACTATATTTCTCACTAATACATGTTAAACTGTTTGCAATAATTCAAGCAAGTGATTTAAAATTTTCCATTGATCTGCCTAGTTTTATTTGTTCTCAAACTTTGCTGTCAATCATTATAAATTTTGAAGAATAGATTGAATTTTTTCTTCTTTCCGTTTGTTCTTGTTAATAGGTACTTTGTGAGAGCAAAAGCCATCTTGTTAAGGGAGCCTGTGGTATGGCATTGGGTTTTGCTTGTCAAAATCTTCTGAACACAACTGAAATTGGTAATGGTTCTGGTTTGGAAGGACAAAACACCAGGATTACTGAAATCTCATTACTTCAGGATATTATTAATACCTTATCTCTGATGATATGCAAGCTTTGCCCTGCTGCAACTGATTCTTTGAAAAATCTTAATGTTAGCTTTTCACCAAGTCAACAGTCAATGAGTTCAAACTTGTTCCTTGGAAATTTGTATGACTTGGAAGAAGATGGTTGGGGTGCTGTAGGTCTTGTACTTGGCTTGGGAAACTCTGTTATTGCACTATATCGCTTTGGAGCTTATGATGCCATTCTTAAGATAAAGGATCTGTTAGTTTCGTGGATCTCATATGATTTACATGGACCTGGCTCATTAGTGTCCAATGAATTGTCCGAGATACCATTATGTATGGGATCATGTCTTGCTCTTCCAACTGTTGCAGCTTTTTGCCAAAGAAATGAATTAGTGAACATTGACTTTGATTTTCTATTTGGTAGCTATTATTCACTGATTTCTGAACTTTTAAGTCTAAAGAAATCTGGTAGCGCTTATCAGAATTTGCTGGTGGCTTCTTGTATCGGTGCTGGATCATTTCTGTCCTGCATAATGAGTTTGGGGATGCACATGGTGAAATTTGACAATGTAAAGCATCTTATGGAAGTTCTAAGAACCACTTACACTTCCTCATTTCCACCTCCTGTCTGTTTTGCTGGAATGCTGGGAGTTGTTAATGCATTTGGTGCTGGTGCTGGGGATCTCATTCAAATGTATCCTCAAGCAACTAACTTTCAGCTCAACTGCGAGCAGGTTTAGCTCTTCAAGCTCATTTATTAATGTGAGTTGTTTTGTTTCTTGATTGACCATATTTTGTCAACAGGAATCATCATTTGTCAGTGGTCCGATTCTTTATAGTCCAGTTTGTGAAACACTCTCAACCTCAATGGTTCAAGAAATGTTTTTGATTGCCAAGGACTCAAAAGATCAGCAAATAAAAAATTATGCTGCATGGGCACTTTCATTTCTTAGATGCCGATGGTGGTCAAGTGAATTTCAAGATATGATTAGTTCACAAAATAGTTCCTTGAGTTCAAACTCATCAGCTCAAACTTTTGATGAAGAAAGCTTAGTTTGGAAACTCTGCTTGTGGCTAAGTGATGTCAACAAAAACAAGGTTCATTTGTTAAATCTATTTCTTTAGTTAATTTTTGAACTTCATGTCATAGTTGCGTTTTTTGTTAAGATCTTTTAAATAAGAAACTCACATCTAGCATGTACTATATGGAATTTGAGAGGCCTATGCAAAAGATAAGGTCACATTAACATTGTCATAGGACGTCATGCCAACTTAAGTTTATCATGCACATGACATAGAGAATAATGCTAACTAAAGTTTATATACGTGCTTGTCGTAGGGCACTAGGGCTTCATTACCAGATTTTGTTGGTGAAATTTAGTGTAGGTAACTAAAACTCTTTCTGTTGTTGAAGCCATGCTTATATCGTTGAAGTATTTTGTTTTAAGATTAAAGTGATCTTTTGAATTTATACTTGTTCCAAAACCACTCTCAAGTTGCATCAGGCGGAAATTCCATGCTTATAGAAACGTCCACAATATTATTATGGAAGACATATTTTAGCTTATGGTGATAATTTTCACTTTCATATGATTATGCTCGAAGATGATTATGGTGTCCTTGTTAGTAGCCAGTAAATTATATATGCTTCAGAAAAGAAAATTAAGATATGTAATATTTTTTTGTTTGACTATCTTGTAGGCCGGGGAGGTCATGGATGCAAGTACTGTTGCAGCTGTCTTAAGATGGCTTTCCAAGGCTCCTAGATTGCCTCCTTTGGATTGGGGAGTAATCATTAGACGCTGCATGAGGTATGATCCACAATTATCTGCAGAGGCACACAAGAGATATTGTCTCACATCACTTCGGGAAGAATGTTTGAATTTTTCTTTAGTTCATGCAAATCATGTTAGCCCTTTCCTGCAATTTGTGGATGAACTCTCTGACCTGTCCAGATTCAGGACACTTGAGCTAAATTTGCAAACGTTTTTGGTTGAACATCTCTTAAACATATGCAAAATATTCTCTGGTCGGAGGTTGGAGAAACTGTTTGTTGATTTGGTTGAATACTTCCGTTCTACTTCCTACTTGGCTTATGAACCAGAAAAGAAAAGCCGATTAAGAGTTTATTTTTGGAAGGGCCTGCATCATTGCCTTACTGAGGCCCCAGAAGAACTCAGCATTGCATCAAATGTGGAAAAGTGCATGGCCTGTCTGTTATCTTTGTTGCCTGAGCTGACCAGTGATGGCTTTTCAGAAGAGCACATTGATTCTATTGGGGAATGGCAGGTTGCTGTAAGATGCTTGGCTAAGGCTCGAGAAGAGTGGCTTGTGGATATTCTGCAGGTAGGTATAGTATTGTTATAGTTGTTTCCTTTTTTCCCGATTTTGGTATTTAGAGGCATCTGTCTCAACTTGAGTTGTTGGGTCGACCCAACCCAGTTTAGGAGAATTTACTTGGGTTCACATGATGGTCTGGTTTGTGAAATTTGGACTCATTAACAGATTAGGTCAGGTTTGGGTCAAGCATATGCTCCCTGGCTTGTAATATTGGGGCAACTCATTTTTCCCCAAAGTTCAAAGAAAAAGTTCACCCTTGACCACCAACCCGATCCTGTTGGTCCATTTTTATGTGACGCATTCTCCATCTGTATGGTCCAGGTCAAGAAATGTTGATCTACTGATGACTTGAGTTGGGTTCAAGTCAATACATCCTTACTACCCCATCTTAGCCCATCTTGATCTCTTACATGTCTAGTGCAACTTAATAGCAATATATGCTTGAGCAATTCAATGATCACATGCAGTATTTATAAGAAATATATCTTCTCCAAATGCTTTTTCCAATATCTGCTTGGTATTTGTTTATTTAGATTATATAGAGTTTCTTATCCTCTTAATCCATGATCCAACATCTTTTCCTAATTGTTTTCCCCTTAAGTTTATTGGATTTCTTTCTGTTATATTGGATGATGCCTTATCTTCAGGTCTCTGTTATTGGTCAGTTGCATGGAGAAAGTAGTTCTTTTGTAGCGAAGATCATCTCCATAAAAGCCAAGCTGGTTGGTATGGGGCGCTTTCCTGTTTCTGAAATGTCAGAGCTAAAAGCCCATGTGTTGAATGCAAGAACTGAAGGTCAGTTTTGTAACTAAAATCTTGTTAAAGTTGCATTGGTTATCTACATGTGCAAGAGACATGTTTTGATTCATGTGCCGACTATATGTATGTATATATGTATGTATATATATATGTATGTATACATGTATGTATACATACATACATACATGTATATAATGCCACATGAAACCAAGTGGCTGAAGTCTGCACCAGTATTTATGCTTGCTTGAAGGAGCAGAAAAAAGGGGGTAAAATATGAAACAAGATGCTTCTGGAGAGGAGCAACTATATTGTTGTGTCTATTGCTCTATCAGTTTCTAAGCAGTAGAGCGACTTTCAAGTGTGCTTCAAAGTAAAGCATACTATTTTGTTTAGCTAAACTGTGATTGATTGCCATTACAAAGAAAATTAAGCCTTTGTTGGCTGTGCATATAGATATATATCAGTGAATTGATCATTTGATCACATCACTAGACACGAGAGAAAATTAGTTGCAAAGATGTTTAACATTTGGAAGAAATTTAATTTACTAAGGTGACCTATATATGTCTTTCTTCATTGTAGGGTAATTCTTCACTTGGTGCCTTTGTGGATAAATGTTTAGACTTGTCCTCCTGTCTTTCTTCAAGTACTATTTTATTTGGTAGTCTTATAATTCTATCAAATAGCCTCATTTTTTCCCCCTCTGTCACTGCATAATCTCTTCATCTTCTCTCTCTATATATGTCTGTGTTTTTCCCAACCTACTGTTGGATATTATACTGTATTTTATAGTTCCTTTCACCTGTTGTCATTATCCTCTAAGAGAAGGAAGAAAATATTATTACCAATATTGTATTTTGGTATTTTGCTGTCAACTGTGGTTAGGATAGTTGGTTATTAATTATCATCTGATATCGAAGTTATCACCACATTTCAGGTCCATGGTGGAGCATGCTTGTGGAAGTCGCTGCATCTCTATTGACTGCTGAAGGTAGAATCAAAAGACAATGGCTTCTTGATGCATTTGAGATCAGCTGCATATCAGAATATCCCTCTACTGTGAGTAGTTTAAAGTTTAAAGTGCACTTTACATAGTATAATATGCACTAAAATTAGGCTGTAGAAGCCTAGAAGGCTGTTAGGCATAGTTCCTCATGGTGATGTCAAGATAAGAGATGGGAGTAGTCCTTCCTGGATCATTTTGTTGGGAATTTACAGGAATAGACATGTAGCATGAGACTCTTATGATAGCCTTTTCAAGATTTGTGGTTTCCCTGATAAATTCGCCATCTTCCGATAACCTGCCTCATTGAACCATCATCATTTAACGGGATTGTTTGGACAATTAAAGTGACTTCTCTCTGCCCACCCCCTTTTTTTTCCCTTGAACTGAAATGCATTATGGTGCTAGGTTCATGTGGATTGGTTTAACTGAACCAATGATATTTCAAAATATCTGTACATCTAGCCCATTTTATGGAGTTATAGCAGAAATCTCTAGGGTTGCTCTACAGTGCATAGAACAATGTTTTGTTTAGTAAGGTAGCCATGGTCAGGTCAGGAAAACTGGGAGATTTTGGTGATACATACAGAAAGGACCTTAGTATTCTTGTAAATTGAAGTGCTATTCGCTTTCCAACAAAGTTTTTCATTCCTGCCATAAGCTATTGACAAATGGCTAGTGTTTGATGCGCACTCTCAAGAAGGAAGCAAAAGCACTATAGTGGTGTGAAGCCTTTATGGTGTAAAGAGCTGCCCTTTTTTCCAATTCATAAACAAAAGCAATTGACAAAAACACTGTAGTAACACGAAGCCTTTTTTATAGAAATGTCTTAGGCAAGCAACCAATTTCTTTTGTTTTGATTAATAGAGCATGTCATTTTTCCAATTGACATGTTACTAAACTAAGCTTCCTGTTGGTTCATATGTGAGTTTGTGCATTTGTTTGGTCTGGCATTCTGCATTTCTGGGTGGTGTTACACATACCAATTGGTCTAGAGCATGCCACTGTATTATTTTAAGTGTCTTCTTTTTTCCTCTACAGGCACTGCGTTTTATAGGTCTGCTATCAAGTAGATGGTGTATGTACATGCCACTTCTGACCATTGAACCAACTACCGTCTTGAGTGACTTGCCTGTCACCTTGCCATCTCTTCTATCTGACAGCTCCTGGAGCATCATCGCTGGACCTCTAGTGGATAAGCTCTGGGTTTGCACCATGCGGATCTGCACCTGGGCAGAGCGGTTGACTATTGCTGGTGGTTCGTCAATGTTGGACCAAATAGACGCTAGCGAAGCCGGCTTGTCCATCTTCTTGGCACACGTGATGCATGAGACATGCCTCTCCTTGAAGCAGTTCTTGCCATTTGAAAAACAGCTGAAGCTTGCAACCCTTGTGGTCGCACGAGTTTGATGGTTGCTACATGCTGTTCCAAAACTCATTTGTATGCCAGCAAGCTTTCCGGTGACAACCATATGCTCGAGAGCCGAAAAAAGGACTCAGCTAATACAAGCGCCGTAGATCATTGTTCGTCACACCAGATTGCCGGGAATAGTTTTTTTTTCCCTGTTTTTAATAACGACAATTTATGCATTAGAACGTGAGAGAAAGGGGTAACAAAACTCCCAACACAATTGGACTTGGGCCTGTTGCCTGCGCTGCCTAACATTGTAACGTAGATGGGACGTTGTTTTGATGGATACATCTGTTGAATGGAGCACAGGGACGAGGTTTGTTATTTTGTATCTCCCTATTCTGCTGCTGTTTCTGTTCTTTGTAACAGAGGGAGGACGGTTATATGTAGCAGAGTTGTTGTTCCGTAAAGATTAGCAACTTCTCTTCCTCGGCAATGTTGCTTGTAATACCAGTGTTCATTGTGGCAGTACAGGATGCGCATCAACCTTTGGTGTGTTGATTCGAATCAAAATGAAACTAGATGCAGCAATGGCGCTCGTCAGAACTACGAGCCTTAACCAATATTGGATGGTGGTGCCCACATGTCGACGTACCGCCTCAGCTCCGCCGCCGGCAACGCCCGCTTCCAAGCATCTACATCCGGCGCAGGTCCCGTCAGGGCCAGCCAACTGTCCTCCTTCCTCCCACCCGCCCCCAGATTTATAACAAACAACTCGTCGGCGAACACTTTCCCCATCGCCCTCAGCGTCTCCTCTCTCACCAAGTCTCCGTCCCTGCGCGGGTCCTCCGCCTCAACGCATCTGCCACCGCAGTTCACCATCATCCTCCCCCCAGTCTTCAGCCTGCTTCTCAGATTCTCCCAGGTTTTCGGATCTTGCAGCTCCGGTATCACGCTTCCCTTCGCGAAGAGGTCCACCAGGATTCCCGCAAAGCCGCCTTCGACCTTGGCATCGAGCGCGTCGCCAACATAGACGAAGAGCTTGCCCCGGTGCTGCCTCTCGAGCTTCGACAGCCCGAAGAACTCTCGGGCGACCGCGATCACGGACGGGTCGAACTCCCAGCCGTGGATCTCGGGGGCAGGGGCGGCGCCGTCCGGGTAGAGGCTGAGGATCAGGCGGGCGGCGGATCCGGCGCCGAAGCCGAGTATGGCGATGGGCCCGCCTCCGTGGGGGAGGAGGGGAGGGAGGGTGGCGAAGACGTCGAAGTAGGTGGAGGTGAGGGTCCTAAGGAGGAAGGAGATGCTGTGGATGTTGCCGGGGCGGTCGAGGAGGAGCAGGCGAGAACCGGCGAGGGGGTGGTCGGCGCGACGAGAGACGTCGAGGACGCGGATGTAGTTGTGGCGGGACTTGAATTTGGCCAGGATCTTCACGTACTCCATGGGAATGCCCTCGTCCTCCTCCTCGTTCTCCTCTGGGGTCTCGGTGAGATTAGGGTTGGGGGTCGTGGTGGACCGGGGTGGGAATGCGAGTGGCCCGCGTTGCTTGGTCCTGATAGCCAGTAAGCGAGGGTTTGGCCGGACGAATCGGAGGGACGGCAGGGTGGTTTGTCGAAACGAGTTGTTCTTGTGCACCATCATTGCGCCAATCCCAGGCCAAACGACGAGGGTGTTCATCCTGGCGGCAGGAGAAGTGTTCCTCTTGTCCAAGGCGGAGTCAGGAGGAGGCAGAGAGCAAGAAGAAGCCTGGCGATTTGGGGTGCGTGTATCTGACGACGAGCCGGATTCTTGTAGGAGGCCATGACCCATGAATGAATGAATGAAGCACACAAAGCCCTGGTAATATTGGTTCCAAATATTAGTTTATTGCAAAATTTAGTCTTAAGAATCGTCCAATCCTTTTCTTTCTTTAATAGCAACCACTCGCGGATCGATCATAAATACTCCCGTCGTTGGGAATTTATGAAGGTAGGTTGTTTGAAAAACAATTGTTTCATTTTCCTCATTTAATGTTAACCGCTTGTCTAATTTGGTTCGAAATTTGATTTTGATTTTGATTTTGATTTTGATTTTGATTTTTTTAATAAAATATTGGATATAGTATTGGAAATGAAATTGTTTTTATCAATAAATGAAGTAAGGTGGTTTATTGAATCGACGATAACATGGGTCTGTGTCGGGGTCTGGGTCTGGGTCTGGGTCGGGTCGGGCTTGCCCAGCAACCAAGGACTGGGTGGTCGCCATAAGATCTACATTAACACTGCAATGTGTCTGATCTCTCTCACTGATGCCACCGGCGTCCAGCGCGTTGCTGTTGCCGATAATTTCGACCGCCCTCGCCCTCATCCTGGCTGCTTCGGTCTCTGGATGATCTTGGAGGAAGCAAATCCTAGGCTGCATACCGGATCTTGGAGGAAGGATCTGATACGGCCCCTCTATCCAGATCCCGATGGCGAAGCCGGCTGCCGGGTGGATCCCTCTCTTCAAGAAGCGCTTCGTCCTCTTCGTCGTCGTCATCCTCTCCGTTTCCACCGTGTTCGTCTGCTTCATCCGAGGCGCCTCCGCCCCCTGCGACCCGCCCCGGAATGGACTGGCGGCCGCTGTGGATCGGGCAAAGCTCCCGCGGCACTCTGATGTCGACGTCGGTGCTCGCAAGAACCCCCTCGGCTTCATGAGGACCAAGCTTGTGCTGCTTGTCTCCCACGAGCTCTCTCTTTCCGGTATATGTTTTTTTGGGGTTTTTTGGACTTCTTCTTGGATTTAGATTATTATTCCTCATCGGAACTCAACCGAGGTCAATGGAGTACGAATCTGTGCTTTTATTGGTTGATACCTAAGAAAGGCGACAGTTGTAGGAAGGAATCAGGAAGAGACTGTGGCCAAACGGTGCCTGTTACATATGATGTTTAGAAACGCAGCTCAGAGAATGAAATAGAAAGGATGGAAAATCTGAGGTATTTAGAAAGGTGGGATGTCCTTTTATGGAGGCATTGTGGATGTTGTGCAGTTTGCAAGGTCTTGGAGGAGATCCTAGTAAAGGTAGCAGAACGGATAAAATCTTTGCGGTGGGAGGTCTTGCTAGGGTTAATTGTTCCCTTTAGAAGCATGTTTCAAGGATCAGGCTCTTCATGTAGCTGATGGTGGCATTTTAGAAGTAATAGAGTGATGTGTTTACCAATATAGAGCTTGAACCAGTGCTTGGAACGCTTCCTTTTAATGATTAGAAGATTACTGGGAAGTGAATTCTCTTGTAAAATGGGAAACCTACAAGTGTAGGTTATAAGCAAGAAAATTGCGAGAAATAATCATGTATTATGCCTTTGCTTTTATATCTAAAGAATTAACCCTGCAAGGGAAGATGCACAAGGTCTCCATCTAATATTAGAGTTTTTACAGTCACTTCTACTGAAGTGTTTTTCTTGTTTTATCTCAGTAGCTTTTTGTCAAATGGGCATCAATTTTTGTGGATTTTGGAACTTGTAATCTAATTCTTATATGTCAGATAATGAGTCGAAATTAAATTGAAAGAAACAAGGAACATAATTTTTGTTGGCCCTATTAAGCCTTCCGGACAGAAACTTGGGTACAATTTGATCACTCATGTTCATTTATATAGTGACTAACACAAATAAGAAGGATCATGTCGCATAAAAAACAAAGTAACAATTGAATTGTGTAAGAATAGATAATACCAATTAAACAAGGAAATACTGGATCAAATATAATTTTTGTTGGATTTCAAACAATCATGTAAAATATATTTGGTTGCAGTCATGGTTCATGTTCTTCTGTATCTTGCATGACCATCAAAAGTTGGTTTTCATTGAAGCATTTGGTGAATGAGAACATCACATGTAAAAAGGTGTCATATACATACATATTGGATGCAAGATTTACAGCAACATGTCTCACAAGCAACAGTTAGAGAACTAGTACAAAGGATATCTAATCAATTATGAAACTCTATTAGGATATGCTGAACAAGAGAATATAGTAATAATCCATGTAACTAGCGCTTTATCACCCTCCTATTGCAAAGGCAAATAGGTCAGACAAAAAAAATTTTGTTACTTCCAGCATGTCATGGTGCACTATTTACTTATTTGAGGTATATTATGAGCTGCACTTCTCCCTTGCATCTTAAAGTATAATCAGCAAATGGTCGAAACACTTAAAAATGGAGCAAAATTTTTCATTAAATGTTGTGCTTTGTCACAATCAGCTTATTCGAGTAAGTATATGTTCTATTTAGGATAAACTCATCTGCATAATTATATTAAATTATGCTTTATCAAGCAAAATTAACTTGTTTGCACATTTAATTAACTTGTTTGCACATTTTATCAACCGAAATTAACTTGTAAGTAGGAGATCAGTATTGCCTGATCTTTTAATTCATTTTCATCAAAATAACTTTTTGTGCAGGTGGACCATTACTGTTAATGGAGCTAGCATTTCTATTAAGAATTGTGGGTTCCAGGGTGGTATGGATCACTTACCCAAAATCAGAGGAAACAAATGAAGTGACATATAGTTTGGAGCATAAGATGTTAAACCGTGGAGTACAGGTAAAATGTTGCACTTAGCACTGACCAACATATGCATTCTTACTTGGCCTTTTTCTGTACCTTTTTTGGTTGCTTCATAACCTTCTCTATCCAGATTTTCATTTTTAAGGATTACATTCATAAGTAGGTTCGACTTAGCTCATCATGTATGTGATCCACTCTAAATGGTGAATGAACTTGTAGACTGGCTTAACATCTTAGATTACTTCTAATTTGAGTTTGGAATATATGTGCAGTAGTTAATGGCTGAATAATTTAAAGTCAGAATTTTGTTCTGCATGGGTGTTCTTCTATATTGTGTAAGCAGAGGTAACAGAATTTGATGTGTCATCGAGTGAGTGTGTGCGCACGCTCGCACTCTCTTGTGCACTTTGTTTAGGTGTGTCTTGAAACGTGCATAGGTTGCAAAATTGTAATTGTAAAAGGGTTGGGTTTCACTTGTCAAAAACATATTTGTGTCAACCAGATCAGATCATAAAATTATTTGAAATTTAAAAATAAAAAAATAAAAAATGGAAATTAGGAAAATTTTAATTTTTATAAATTTAAAAAGATAATAATAGTTTAATAATATGTGATTAACATGAGTACTTGTGATTAATGAGGCTTATTTTAAATTTCATATATTCTTTTTTATGTAACTTATAAATTTAAATTAGATTTATATGCTAATTAAATCATTACAATAAAATTATGTTTTAATTAACTCAAATATGTTATTTACTATATATCTTATATGTTATACATTATAGAGTTTATTACATTGTTTAAAATATATGATAATATGTTGTAATTATGTATTTTGTGTAATTTGTATCATATTATATATCATGGCAACAGATGGAGTGCTGGTGGAGCTGGTAAGTGTACGCCCTTCTCCTCTCTCTCTCTCTCTCTCTCTCTCTCTCTCT